CATGAAGAAGTTCGCCGCGAACTATTACGTCAATCAACCGTTACTTCCCCGAGTTACTCTTTCGGCATACTGTTGCTGACGTGAATATGCGCGCAATTAGCCGTTACGCTTCACATTTCCGATTCTCGCTATTCTTAACCGCCCGATACCCCTCGGTATTCATATCATTTAACGAGGCTGAGAGACTTTAGCAAATCTACCTCGTGATTTATTTCGACAAAATTCTCGTCATAATTCCGCTGCTTTCGCAGCTCTCGGTATCTTGTGTCCGTGCAGTGGTATCTTTTATCTACTGACCCGTGGAAACGCGAAACAATCTGATAGTGTCGCTATAAACGATCGTTACTAATGCTGACTCAACGAACTGAAATGTTAATTAAAATAAGCTCGTTCTCGGCGCATTTCGGGGAAAAGGAGAAGCAGCAGACACACATCCATTGGCGACGTGTGCGTCGCTAATTGCAGCTGCTGACCGCGAGTGCACCGGCGTTAGCTCAGGATTACGCACCCAAACCGTACGTAAGGTTTCGTACGGAGCAAGGTGGTCTTCGTGGGCGACGTTCGACGGGGCACGAAGAGAGAGAGATCGATAAAGCGCACGTGCTCCGCGCGGCTGAGAGTCCCTGGCTGGAAGTAAGTACGGTGGGACTCAGCTGTCGCCTCCTAATTGCCGGGACAATGCAACAGATGGCTTTGATCGCAATCCCTACCCGGTCTTCCCACTCTCGAATTCTCCTCCGCTTTCTGTCTCTGTCTGGATCTCTCTCCCTCTCTCTCTCTTTCTCTCCTTCCCCTCTTCCTCCTACTCTCTCGATCTCACACACTCTCCACAGCGCCTCTCTCTTCCGCCGCTCCCGCCGTTTTTCTCGCATCCTTCCTCGCGGCCTTCCTCCCCGCCGATTCGCTCCAACATCTCGCGACTCCATGTGTTCGATTTCATCTCGCAGACAAGCGTGCCACTTAAGGGCCGAGAACGCGGAGATCTCATCCTGGTCACTATTCCAGTCTGATCGGTTGCACACTTGAATGCTGATGCGTCATAATACTCGATGTCTCCTTTTTCAACTCGGAAAAGCGCGGTGAGGACATACAAGCTGTTCCCTTAAAAAACAGATATCAAAGATAACAGCGATTTTGTTGATTCTCCGAGTGTTTCCGAGGATTCTCTTTGTGAAAAACAATTAATCGCGATTCAATTAAGCTTTGGTTTCTTTCTAAACACAGAACCCAAGAGAGACAGAGAATTAATTGAACCCCAATGAATCTCAACCAACGTTTACAGAAATCGCGCATGGAGAATCCGTAAACTCTGGTCAACTCAAACTAATGTTTATGGAAATGCGACGGGCGTGCTAATTACCGCCGCCGGTGGGGAAGGGTTGAAAGCGTCACCTAAAAAAATATCAACATGTCCACAACGTAACTAGTTGTATATCGTGCGCCCGCGAAGGGTTAACCGGCCATTTCATCGAAGCGTTTACCCTAAGTTACGCCGCGAGGTACGGGCCGATAGCGTACCACTTAACGTATTCTGCCGTCATCATCTAGTACAACGAGTTCTCGAATTTTATGAAACTCGTCGACTGAGGTGGAGGACGTGCACACGAGGACGAGCTCCAGGTCGTAAGCCGCACCCGTAGGAACGCGGTGTGCGGGTGACTATCGCGAAACACCTCGAACGGCAGCGTCGGGGATGCCCCAACGGCGCGCCGGATATGATATCAGCCCCGAGCAGAATCCCAGTGGAAGTGTTGGACGTGCCTTATCGCGTCTGGACCAGGCAGTCAGGCGGCGCACGAACCTAACCGACACACACCGGGCCAGCCAACCAAGTTGACTGACTGCTCGCAGGAGTTTCGCCATCATCCCCTGTGGAGCATCCTCTCGTACTCTCTCTCTCTCTCTTTCTCTCTCTCCCTTTCTTCGCCTCTCTCTCTCTCTCTCTCTCCCTCTCCCTCTCTCACCCTCTGTCTCTTTCTCTATCTATCCCTCTACCTAACCTTTTCCCTCTTACCCTCACCCTTTCTCTCACGAACCTATTGCTCGCTCACATATCCGCGTACACACGTGTGCGTGTGCTCGTGCACCCACGCATGCTGGAAACCGCAAAGAGCGTATACGGAGTATGCCAAAACCACCAGCGGGCGCTCATTAAATATTAACCATCGACCGCACAGATTCTTCAGTCAGCGCAGAATTGATTTTTTCACAAGGAAACGATTACACGTTTCGTACGTTGAATCGATAGTGAGAATTATTGTACAGACTACCACTTGACGAGAGAGGCATCATCTTGATTGCCGGCACCTCGTCCATGACGAGTCTGCCCGACATTACGTTAGTCAACAAAAATTGATCGATCCCGGCAAGCGGATTTCGCGAGGGACGAGCGGAGAGAGAGGAGCCGAGAGAGAAAGCTCGCATTCGGACGCGTTGACGGGGCTTTGATGTGCCAGAAGGGGCTTTTTTCCTGAGCCCCGGTTTCCAAGTTAGCTGCGGGCTCCCGCCCGTCTAGATAACCGGCTCGGGCTGAATGTACGATTCGAGCGAGAGAGCGCGCGCGGACTGGATATACGGGTACCGGCATGCAATATTCCGAACTAATGTACGACGCACCCACAGCGTGGGCCGGCCCGACGCTCCCGCGCGGACATCGGCGAGGTCGTTCTTTTTAATTTTCAGTTTCGAGAGATCGAGGTCAACTTCCGGGGTCACTCGCCGTCTAGCGAAAAATGAAACGGCATCATCACAAGACTGAGAGGCCGTATTCTTGATGCGTATTCGAACGCTAAGCACGCCCTTTTTATTCCAAGTTCGGTTTTCCTCATACCAGCGTTCCGTATAAGGTTACTCAGCTTGAGAATTAGAAAGGCGTACTCTCAGTGATCGAAAATACACGTCAAAAATAGTCCCTTACACAGTTTTGTGTTACATATTACTCGAGTTTAAATATATTCGCATCGAATCGTGTCTCTCAATTCATCGTAGGCACAGCGCGTTTGCGAGGTTGTTCTGCTGGTATTTTCACCAAAGTCTCAATAGTTTCCCACCGTTCCGACCATTTGCGTTAATTTTAATAATTGCAAGCTTATTAATTGTCGCTGATTTAAGATTGATTGTCGCATGGCGTAATTTCGGTCGCGGCGAGTGACAAGTAGTATGCGATCGATAAAACGAGTGACAGCTTGATACCGAGAGTTGTTGCGTCAAGCACCGGGATCCGTGTTAAGTAGAGAAAAAGTAATGTACCACGCCGCCAATCTAAAATTAGACGAGCCGAACGTACAACACCTGCGCGCTATACCATCCACACGCCGCCGAGCGAGGAGCAAATTAACAGAATAGTGAATTTGCACGAACCGATTCAGTTGGATATCGAGCAATTTGTTTTTATTTTCTTGTTTCAAGAGAGGGGGGGGAGGTTGACGTGCGATAGATCAGTCAAATAGGCCAGAGTGATCACGTTGTTAATTTTTAACGACACGCGTCACCCCGCTGACGGGTTATTACAATATATTGTCGCCTGGGATGGAAGTGAAGGGGTTATTAACGACTCTGATGAATGTCACATATTCCGCAAACGAGATACTTCGAATAGCCGGCGATTTAATTATAATTAAACGCGAAAAGAGTAATAATAATACGCGATCGCGCGTCGACATATAGCGGCAATTGAAATTATATGCACGTCGATTTTCACTTCGACCTTATCTCGCCCTTCTTTAACGCGACATGAAAATGATTTCCCACGATAAACCGCGATGCACTATGACCGCGAGCCGACGTGCCTTGCAAACAGCACGCCAACTTAATTCCACGATGTTACATGGAGAATCTGCCAATATCGTCACTTACATTTTGCAGAACATGACATTACGCGGGGACTAGACCGCAAAGAGAAATCGATACATCGATATAAATTGATATTTACACGTTGGCGAATAGGTCAGTCCGACCGATCAATCGGCCTTCAAGGAAGCGGAGGTATTCGCTTGCGAGCAAATTTTTACCTTGGGACACCATGAGAGAAAACTCTAATGATAGAAACAGAAATTATCCATCATAAAAAAGCATTTAACGGGATCCATTTAAAATGGATGACAATCTCGAATAATATTGATAGCGCAAAAGCGATCGTCATTAACACGATCACGCTCCAACCTTTTCGTACATATACACTGAGGGAAAAATTACCTTAAAATCAACAAATATTTCTTTGATGGGTGCCATTAACATATTTACTTAAATCTAAATTCTCTTTATTTAAATCAAATATTGTTTACCTGACTTAAGTAAATAATATTTGGTTTAAATAAAGAGAATTTAAATTTATATAAATAAATATGTTAATAGCGCCCATCAAAGAAATATTTGTTGATTTAGTTAAGATAATTTTTTCTTTAGCGTAGATCATGATATAAATGTGTGCTGCTTTGTTTCGTCATATATTTAGCGGTAGACATACACATATAGGAACGTTTCTGCATACTTTTATTTCTGTAAAGGTGCAGTAATATTCTTTGAAAATTTCTTGAGTGAAGCAGACATACGCTCGGCATTCGCAAACTAGGAAACCTTGTATCAGATAAATATTTACGCTGGCTGGACAATTCGAGATGCCAGTTTTGAAAGCTGTTGTCATTTTTGTCACGTATCGAGCAGTGCTCCGATTTACTTTTGCACGTGCTTTCATTGTGCGCAAGCACTTGTAATTCCGTGCAACCAACACTACGTGAACTTCACAGAAAGAAGCGTCCTTAAGCGCGTTTTGCGTCACGTCAAATATCAAACAAAGGTCAGAAGAAACGCGTTCGAAGAAAACAACGAAAGCGTTAAAAAAAAAGAAAACACATGTCCACGTGATGGATCGATATTTTTCTGAAGAAAGATCTTTCTGCGCACAAGAGGCACCTGTGCGATTGATTCGTTCTTCCTCGCCCTCCTCCTACTAATCGATATTTTTTTTCTTTTCTTTCCTCAGGCACGAGAGAGGTACTCACCCTTGTTCTTGGCCTTGAGATCGAGGTCGACCGGAAAGGGGTCGCCGGTGGTACTACCGGCGCCGGAGACGGTCGTCGGCGGATGGCAGATAATACTGGAGGGCTGTAGAGCGGCGGGGGCGGCGGCCGCGACGACGGTGGCCACCGTGGTGGTCGTCGACGAGTTCGCGGCCACACTGGAGACGCCGTTGCTGTTAGTGACGGTGGTGGTGATCGCCGTCGCGGCGGAGACGGTGAGCGTCGCGATGGTCGCGGTGGTGGCCGCCGACGTCGACGACGGCGGGGTCTGCTGGTAGCCGCAGCATTCCTTCGTCTCTTCCTTAACCTTGACCTTGTGGAGAACCGTCGTCGTTGCCGCTCCACCCTCCACTTTCATACTCGCGAGCCGCTTTCTTACCTACGGACCATGGCATCAATTAAATTCATTCTAATTTAATGGAAACTGAAGATGGCTAACGGCGTTGACTTAGCGGATGGACATCTGGCTGAAGAGGGGCCGAAAGTAAGAAAAGAAACTTCTTAATGTACCGCTTTTTCGGGATAAAAAGAACATTTTTTATTATTCTTTTTTTTATAAGAAAACAATGTTAAGTCGATCATGTTCAAATATAGAGTCAGTAAAAAGATTGAAATAGCTTTCACAAGAAACTTCTTATCTAAACAATTTATTTAGTATATAAGATTTTTATTACTTTGAAGAAAAATATGAAAAAGAACACATACGAGCTTCTTATGTATTGAAGGAATACTCTATTTTTTTATATGCACATGTCGCGCGTAATAAAATAACTGGGAAGAGATGAATAGTATAACAGTCACGTATAGCAATAACTCTGTTGCCTGATACAAAAAGTGTAAAGGGGTTCTTTCGCCGCGCAAAAATCTATTTACGTCGTCGAAATATTGAGTATTAGGTGCTTCCTTCTGTCCACCGCGACGTTTCCACGAGAACGTGCACCTGCTCCCAATCAGGCCGGACTCGGTATCGACACGAGCGCGACGACGCGCAGAAAAACGAGCAAAGGGACCGGTACACCCATATGCACGTCATCGTGCGCACGATTCATATTTGATTGATTCCATTTCATGAGCGCCGCATGTTTCGTCTACGTGCCCGGCGACGGGACCGTCGTCGCGCATACCGATTGCCGTTTTAATGGAATGGACGGACGTTAGTTTTACAAACCAACAAGGATCCGTCACGGCGCGGAAGCACGGACCGGGCCGGGGGATTATTGGGGATCCGCGAACGCGCCGTCGCCCATAACTGATCGCGCCGTCATTTTTGGTTGCACTCGGCACGGCCTACAAATGGACCATCACGGAAGGCCTCCGCGCAAATGTTTCCGCGAAATGGAGCAAATGTAGGCGGTGTGTCGGGGGATATCGGGAGCTACCACCTCCTCCCGTCTATAAAATCGTCACCGAAACTTCGGGTTCATTTTCCCGTGAAAATTTGATTGGCCGTCAGCTTTGTTTATTTGTCTTTGATATCTCAAATTGAAACTCCGCTAAAATTCGCACGAGATTAATTAATTAAGCTACGTTCATTTGAATTATTAAGATCCTCGTGCAGCACAAAATTCAACACATCCTGACACACAAATTGAAATAATAAGAGTAAACCTAAACTAGAGAATTAAACTTTTCAACAAAATTTCTCAGAAATCCCGAGTCGAAATTTTCGTTTTATATTAATCCTGCAAATTTCGTCGAATTTGCACATGAAAAAGGAAAAATATTTTTATAATCTCTTTATTGTGTTTGTTTATTGGCGTTAAAAATTTCGATGGGATTGGGAGATTTAAAACAAGTGAATATTCATTTGTATCACACAGAAGCATGAATCGATCGGAAACGCGGCGTTACCTAATGATCACACGTTAACTGTTCGCCAAATGCTACGGGCAAAATTTCCAATTATTTCGGAATAGGGGAAAACACCCAGTAGCCGGCACACGTTACAATACTCGCCAGTTACAACACTCTTGCTCGTGTTCCATGAAATATCGAGCGTACAGTGATTTATTAATTATTTATTAATTATCTATTAATTATTATTTATTTATTCGTTTTCTTTTAAACCTCTATAACAACGCCCGCACAAGAGTGCCGAAAACGAAAGTGCTGACTACTGGACGTTTTCCTCTATGTGCTATCCTGATTATTTTGATGAAGGCCTCAAAGGTCTTGAATATTTTGAGTTGATTATCGTGATTTCTGATACCGAGTATTATCTCATCATTAATCAACGTGCGACGACGGTTCGCGACAAGGGATAACTTTGTCCTTCTAAAGGTATCTATTGTTTTGGGACCGTCACGTCGTGCGTTATGCACTTATCTGTGACCGAGTCATTACGTCTTGAGCCGACAAGCGATACATATATATGTAGTACACGTATATCGGTGTGCGTTGTTTACCATACCGGTTTTCGCTATTAAAATATTTCACCGGCTCTTGAGATATTTCACCGGGCTGTCGTCGACATCGCGTTAGTCAACACGTGCTTCTCTGATCTAGTCGTATCTACTAGTGTCGTTTATCATACAGGCTATTGTGCTACCTTGATACTGCAAATGGTTACTTAATGCCGTGTTCTCCATGTTGAGGCTTGAAGAAACAGTTACTTCGATATTCTGCCCGAATTTAATTTTTTTTCTAATTTTGATTTAATTCAACTTTGCTGATAGAATATATACCGATAAATAAATATTAAATAATTAACTCAATATAGAACTCGACACAAACTTTTTGTGCATCTTCCTTCAAGCCTCAACACGGAGAAAATAGCATTAAGTAACCATTTGCAGTAACCATTTGCAGTAAGATGGAACAATAATCTATGTGACGTTACATGTAGAGATTTTCCATTGATCCTTTAAGTAAGGTACCAATTTCCGGACACATATCTAATCATGAACATTCTTATTGTTTTAATCTTCAAATACGAATATTTAAATTCTGAGCATAGAATGTATGTATATATTTAATACATGTATATATATTTTATGTTAAAAGTTTAAATATTTATATTTAAAAACCAAAACAATATCCAAGATTAGGTACGTGTCTTGATATTGGTACTTTTACCTTTTACCCACGATATTAGCGCGAGTAAAATTTCGATTCGGGTCGAAGCTTTTCATAACCAAATGCCGTTCATCGTGTCCACGGCAATTTTTCTTTCTCTCACCGCGCCTCGGCGTGTAAATATCGCCAGGATGTTTGCCAGTTGCGAATACGCAGGAGTCGTAAACATCATGAAGATTTACATCCGCCTGACAGGTGGTACCAGAGAGCAATGCTGCGCCGCGTAAGCGTCCTGCGTTCTGTACGTAACGCGGCGGCGTATTTAGCTTTTCTTTCCTCCGCGCTCACTCGCGCCTTCTTCTTTATCTCGTGCTTACCTTGCGAGATCTCGTTTCATATTTATTACGGTAATCGCGTTACTGGGACTTTTACGAGCGCGGTGCTCCGCGCCGACGGCTACGTCCGGCATTAAAAGTGGTGGAACCGAACGTTCACTACGTTTTTTTTCTTCGCGATACCGCGGTAGAAACTACAAGTGTAAGTAATGTGTAAGTGTACTTTCGCACAAACGCTGAGTGGTGCGATTTTACACTGCTCGTTATAATCGCGCATGTAAGCTCCACGCTATGGATTACTTTCGCAGCGTTCACCTCGTCAGACTTCAACGTGTGCAGACTTATGTAAACTCGGATGTTTGCAAAAAAGATTCAAAGAAATTTCCTTTCTCACGTATCAACTACGGCATGTCATCCCGCATGAAACAATGTTGCTGATAACTAAGACCGATGTAGCTCTACGCAAGTGCATAACATTACGCCGGATGCTACAGCAATATTATTCCGAGCAAAGTCACGTGCACCAGTTCTACTGCGTGCGCCGCTGCACAGAGACAAAACCATGTCACCGGAAACGGCACAGTTGTAAGGAAATTGAATAGCGACCATCGGAATAACTATAACGAACAATCCGACAGCTGCGCCATTTTCGTCGAGTATATATTGTATTACATTAATCGACTTTTCCCTTTAGCCGGCCCAAGCTGTGTACACAGATCGGCATAACAGGCCTAACACGTGAAATTATACCTTTCTAGACGATACAGCATGTATTTCTTATAGAAAATTATTCTAAATAATATAACTTTGTGTGTCAAAGCTATTATGAAGATCTGCGTACATACGCGGAAATTTGTTTCGTCGCCAAAGTATCTGAAGGATTTAAATCTTCGTGGCGTATAGTCGATCAGCGCCCAAACAAATCGTGAAAATAAAGATTAATTGCGTTAATCCAATGAAGTCATAGCGACAGGAAAGGGACAGGATAGTCTTGCGTTCACGCGTTCGTGAATCTGCAGCTTGTAAAACAAAATTGCACGTTTCCGTGGCTTATGCCAAATCGATTTGGGACCGAGCGATTTGCGTGAGCCCGGTAATATTTTCGGTTCGACGCGAGCAAAATTACACAGGCAGGAAAATTAAATGGCACGAATGCGGAAACGGGGAGTAATCTTTAAGATCCACGTGGCGCGCTGCCGTTCCTACCGGATGGAATTTTATTTTATTGACGCGCGCGCAGCCCTGGCAGCAGGCTGCCTTCGGTGCCACATGGTCCCGTTATTAACGTGAAATGCAAACGAGCCCTTCGTTGCGTCCAAGAAACGGCCGCTCGGATGACTCGCTATAATTTTTCGCGCGAAACTGCATTGCCAAATGTGTCGTCGAGTTTTAACGTGTTCATAACTGCAAATCCGACGCGAGGCTCCGTTCGCTTCGGTTTTCGCAAATCGCGCGACAATAAAGTCTCCAAATCCTAATAACAAATGTTCGTAACTGTCACGCTTCGTTTAATCGACGAATGCGCGAGAACGCGCAACGCGATACAACCCGCTCGTAGACGTAGTTTTTATGTCGGTTGAGTAATTAGGCCAAGTATTAACATTAATTTTCTTGCAGTAATGTTAGCAGTGTATATCATATCGAACATGAAAACGTCGGTTATCGTAGAGGAAATTCGGAAAATATGAAGAGACGGTAAAACTCATTTTTTCTCTACAGAGAGAAAAAATTTCACATATACTAACCTCCTAAGAACTTTACCTGCGAAAAGATTCAAATAACATCAACATTACCGAGAGTTAAAGGAAAATATATAAAAGAACGTTAGGAAAATTAAAATATTTGACACTGCACTTAATACAAATTAATTTCTTTTGAACAGTTCTCAATTTGTCTTTCAAGAACAAAATGGTATCTTGTGTTGCTCGAGGATTTTTTGCGAAATATATTGAGGTACCTGTGCAACATATAGCGATGCACAGCGCGCATCTCCATCAGATTTCAAGATAATCCTTTACGCAATAATTTTCTAGTTAGCTCCTCATGAAATAATTACGTTGTCAGATCGTAATTAACAAATAAGTGCGCTATCAATTCCTTATCGACTTGATATCGCAGTAATTTTTATTCTCTTGAATGGTTCAAGATTATGCAATTATAAATCGTTATTATTTATTTAGAAATTATGAAGAACACTAATCTCTAATAATGCTATTCGGATAATAAAAACAACAACGTGTGTCCTATATTCTAGCCACGTAGCAACGCTCACCGATTCTTCTACGGCCGTTCATCAATCAATCCATCCTCGTGTTTCGCGCGAACGATGGTTACGCGCTACGCAGTTGCGGCAGATTTACACGCAATACACAGAACAATTCGCGGTCACTACGTGTCGATCTTTATTGTGACAGATGGTCACAATAATTTTAATTTACGTCGCGGCGCATCGTCTTCTGTTGTTACAGTTGCCCGCAATTCACCCGTCGCACACGCGCAAGTGTCATACAGTACATATTTGCGAGTTTCTGTCATTCCTGTGACACAAATTATCGTAATAATGGGGAACAGAACTCACCGATTGATTTTATGCAATGTCATTTACCCAAAAGTCCCTGATATTCTAATCGTGACGCCACACGCGAGCGGATGGATCACTTTACATATAAAGACGATATTTCACCTATCCACTCTTGTATTTGGTTCAAGCAGCGGAACAATTCAGCGAAACTGTTCATTCGGTGCAGTCCCCTCGTTTCGAACAGCGTAGCGTCTCGTTGTGTCTGCTACATCGCACGGCGCGCATTACAACTCGTCACGTGTCTCACACCCTGTATCCTCGCGTCACCCCGGTAGCAAGCAAGGTGCACAGCATCCATAGCGGCGCGAGCATTTTCACAGGTAGTTAGGTCTGCGACATTGCGCGATGCGAAACGCCGAGAACGCAATTAACTCGGATGTCACCTGCGATCGATCGCCAGCGAGACCCACCTCCCTCCCCGTTCTTCTCCTCCCGCCTCCTGCCCTCTCTCGTCGTTAAGGTGAGCTTTGGCCCCGCGACTTGCCGGAGACGCGCGTCTCCGGCAATTCGTTAAGACGCTTAGTTAAGCAAACAAGAGCGGAGCCGCTGCGAAGTGATATACGTGCCGCGGCAGAAAATCCGCGGCTCTCTCGCTCGTAATTGCGCGCAGCTGTGGTTACACGCGCGGATATAAAGCTTCCACTCGCGTCGCGCACCCCACGAATCGCATTACCGAGCGCGCCTCTCTTTCTCGTTCTGCCGTCCAAGATCAGAGACCACGTGGAACCAGCCTCGCGATTCTTTTCACCCTTTGTTCCGCGAAAGAACGGGGGCGGGATTGGGAGGATGAGGGACAGTAGTTGGAAATCACATATAATATTGCGATTCTATGGCAGACATGTCGAATTAATTTTATTAATTATACTTGCAATGGGACGTAATTATAAACAGCGCGTTATTACCGTGAATAATATTGCAGCGACCGTGGGCGAATTTAATTGATTATATTTATTATTATAATTGTAACGACCACGCATATAATAAGTGCGGACAGACAGTCCCCCCTTCCGCGCTGTTCGCAATTTTCGAAATAAAACGGGAGACTCGCTGATGGCGACGACGACGACGACGACAACGACGACTCTATCAAACGTTTCGCTAAATTCGCTCCACTTTCGACGGCGGGGCAAGAAAGGAGAAAAAAGCGCCGGACAGGCCGGTGCAGCCGGCGGGAAAAAGCGGCGTGGATGAAAGAGAGGAGATGAGAGAAAGATAAATAGATAGATAGATTTATTTTGTTCTAAAGAAGAGAGAGAGAGAAACAGTCACGGAAATTATTTATTAAGATGATTTATTAATTACTCCAATGTTTTATACTCGCGTGAAATTACGTCACAGAAGCGATATATATATCTCAGTTATTACTTCAGACAAATACATATCAAAGTATAATTTTTTGATACCGTGGCAAACGCGAATTACACATTAAAAATGAATATATAGATTACACATGAAGCGATTGATGTAATGAACGCAATAAATCAAGCGCTCCCGTTTCTAGAATCGTGAGTCGGAATCACCACATTTCCATGCAATATGACGTAATGAACGTCTTCTTCGACGTCGCGTAAAAATCTACATAAAAGTCGGAGAAAGAGGGAGAGGGAGGGAGGAAGAGAGAGAGAGAGAGAGAGAAAACGTGGAAGAGGGAAAGCCGGGCATGGGAATAATCGTGAATCGATCGCGACCACGTTTTGAAGGAAGAAACGGCTTCGGCGTCTCGCGGCAGACCGGGCTTATGTTTATACATATGTCCCGCACATGGTACGGTGCCCCCGAAGAGGCGGCCGCGGCGGGTGGAGACGTACTGAAATTTCCAATATTAGAACGGCCAGGCGAGAGAGGCAGGCCAGATGTCTACCGTACTGACTGCCGAGAGCGCGCGACGTGCGTTTAGCATGGTTTCATTACAAAAATGTCACGCACAGAGCCGCGTCGCGACGCGGCACGCCGCGCCGCTCGCTTCGCGTCCCGCTCGCACCGTCGTCGACCTCTCGACGATGCGTTCGTTCGCGTCTCTCTCTCTCTCTCTCTCTCTCTCTCTTCCTCCCTCCCCCCTCTCTCTTTCTCTCCCTCCCTCTCCTCTCTCTTTCTCTCTCTCTCGTTCTCGCGTTCTCTCGTTCCCTCGTTCTCTCATTCTCTCGTTCTCTTTCCCTGTCGTCGTCACCGCGATGAAGGGAACTCGCTGAACCGTCGACCTGATCTTGGGACGCGCCAGCAGCTGCCATCAATTAACACGTTCGATAGAACTGTTCGCGTGAGATCCACGATGAGATGAGATCATCGTCCCGCGTTTCGAAGGACGGGACTTTTAGGATCAAAACAGTCGCACGCTAATGACGATCCATTGTGGCCGGTATTAAACGCTATCAATATACACGAATATACGGGTATTTCGGTTACCGTTCGTGTATGCGAATAATACACGCGACGTGAACGGGTACCCGTGGCGAGCCTACGTATATTTTTGGGAAATTTAAGGCAAGATGGACGAAATGCCGTTTACATCCTCCATGATCGATAATTTGCATAAGTGCCTTTAGAATTTTTGCACAACGCGTAAACATGTGCACCCACTTGAAGACTAATTGTGCTAATAATATTCAAAATAAATTATGCAAAACGTCTAGCGCAGATTCTCGCTTCAAATTGCTGCGATCTTCAATTCTCGTCCTCGTGAAAGAATGCAAGCACGTCCACGATCGGATCTGCGTTATGAAATTCATGACAAATCCGGATAGAGGCAGGAAGGGAAGGAAGGAGAGAGGAAGAGAAAGAGAAAGAAAGAAAGGACGAAACGAACGAAACGGTAAATACTTCGCTCTTTGGAGCCGACGTGAAACCGTTACATCGTTAATGGTATCGAAGCTTTACTTCGCGAAGGTTCTGCTTGGTTTCATTACAAAGATGTCATGCGCAGGTACGTCGCAGTTATACCCGCTTTTGACGTCCCGCCCGTTGTATACACACTTGGCGTTAAACCGGAACGGCGGGACCGCGCCAGGAAAATTATGAAATGCTAAAACGGAAACGAATTTCCCGGCCCCGAATATTGTTTCGATATTTGCAATTAACTCTTTTATTCGCGCGACACACGCTCCCAACAGTCCCGGTAATATTTCCCCCGTGATCGAAAATATTGGTAACGTTACGAAAAAAAAGAGAGCCCGACTTTACCTAATTCCGATGCAAAAAAAAAGGACTATCTGTGCGTTCAATTAACGAGACGATTTGTCCCATTTACTGGGTGTATCGGCTTTGCCGGAACAAACGCGCCAAACGAACGGACTTTTTCCGGTTGAACTAACGAGAAGATAATTGAGGGCGTCGTCATCGCATGCGTGGATAATTAATTATCGCGCTGGTCCATCAACGTTCGTCACCTGGCATCAACACAGTTTTAACTCTTAAATTTCTCTTAAAAGGCTGGCTCACAGATAACGCGCCAATCCAGATAACGTGACTACTATTGATCACTTTGCAAGTAATTATGTAAATTCGCATCATCGTGATCTCTTGGCTGAATTTTATTTAAGAAGCTTATGAAAGAATATCACGTTTAAAAATATGTACTGTTTATAAATTCGTTTCCGATTTATTATCGATGAAATATCTCTAGAACGAAGATACTCAAAGGAAAAGTATTCAAATATTTTTCTCTTATTCTGACGATACGATATTTTTAGGCGGTTATATAGACTCTGTTGTATCAAATGCTAGCAATAATAATCAACAAATTGCATCGAGTATAATTGTACGTCATTCCTCGCTGATAATTAAGCCCAAATTTCGGGTAATTTCGGTTTCGTACCTGTCAGAGCCATGTCATAGAATTATCATAAATACGAATTTGCGGTTTCATGATGGTTTTACTTACACGTTCGATACGCATAACAACGCAAATTCCGTCGACTCTAAAACTTACTTGAAATTCGCAAAGTAAGCAACAAATTCTTTCAAATAAAATTTTTCATGCTTTGCGCAGAAAAGCTTACACATTTAGTTCATATCAAAATAAACGTAGATGCATTTACATATTATTGAGGAGAAATTAAATTTGGAATATTTAAATTCTATGGAATAAGAAGAAAAATCCTAAGTAAATTATTTATATACAGAATATATTTGATGGTATTTAGAATTAAAGAAAGAAACTCAATATATCGCGCGGCTTGCTTTTTCTAAGCTACGTCCAGGTGACTGACGCAATCGATCGATCGACACTTAATATATCCACGAAAATATCGGATGGCGTTCGCAGGTGCGCCGATGGTGCGGCCGGTTCGTCAGTGTCAGCGAAAATTGTCGGACACGTGGTTAACTACGGGAGCTGTTAAACGTTTAGGTGCGCGAGTAGGTAGCAACAGAATCCCAATGCAATTGCTAGCGCTTCTATAGGCTAGTGAGATATGAATCTATTCCGGCATTGCGCATCCTCTAACCAATCTCAACAACACGTGCAGTTCAATCGTCCGCGGATTATCGTTGATAAAAATTTTGATAATTACCTACTCGAATTGTGTAGCTAGGAATTCCAGTGCTTTTTTTTTCGGGTCGCAAGTACCGATGCAAAGAAATAAAGCGAACTAATGTCACGTGTGAGACTAAAAAAAAAGAAGTACAGAATCGCCTTTCGCGAATATACACGATACTCGACTTGACTTTATACATCTGTCGAAGAAAAAGAAAAAATATTAATTCGCGTTTAAAAATCTCTAATTTCGGATTTATCATTCGTGTCTTTTATACTTTTATCAACTTTTATTACCTTAACTTGTATCATTCAGATTATTTTCACTGATTATTCTACAATCCCTTTTCTCACTGATTATTCTACAATCCCTTTTCTCTTTGTACGTGTAAATTCATTCTCCACATGTAATAATTACACAGCTGTGAAATGCTGAACATAAACTCTCTTTCTTTTTTCCTCCGCATAGTGTCCCAAGAGAGAACCTTTGTCTCAGAACAAATTCCACTCTGTTCCCTCGCGCAACATCCCGAAGCAATCGTCTCCTCAATGCAAACACCATCATCCTTTCGTGTAACTTACATCCCACCGCAGGCACGCACTAATTACATGCCAGCCGGAAGAGGAAACTCGCGGATACTACCGCGGTATGCAACGTAACGTAACCGCAGGTACCGACGAGGTACCGGCAGGGCGGAGGTCGAGTCTCTCCGGCCGTAACTCTTGATTCTCTTTGAAGCGCGGAAGCTGCCCGCAACACCTGACTGACTCGACGGACGCGTATATGGCAGGTCGAGCGGAGCAGCGGCAGACAGAGCTCGCCGGGGTTGAGGCGAGATGGGGGGCAAAGAGAAAGGCAACCACTACGGGTGGGCCGAG